AAAAAAAAAAAAAAAAAGAAAGCAACCATAGTAGACAAGTGTCTTCCCAGTATCCATTCTCCTTGTTCTTCCTGACAGAATTTTATGCCTGCATACTTTGTCTACCCAATACAATATGTCTATATTAGTACAGTATCACAATATTATCATAAAACATGTGATAAGCAGGGATGTCCAACCTGCAGTCCATGGGCTGCATGCAGATTGAGGCCTATTTTATTTATGTGTGGTGTTGGATACTGTGAAAATTATGCATGGACCTTTTTTTGCTTATCAACTTTCATTAGTGTTTATGTTTTAATTGTCAGGCCCAAGACAACTCTTCTTCCAATGCACAAAAGGAAAAAAGAAAGCTTGGACACCCCTAGACAGACAATTCTGTGTCCCCTCAACATCCATTTCCCCTTTCTTCTGAATAAAACTCTGATTTGCTTAGGGTGGCAATGTTTCCAACTGAAGGCCCATCTCCCAGCCTCCAATGTAGGTGGGGATGACCTGTGACCCTGAGCTAGTCAACAGAAGTGAAGAGAGGCCACTTGGTGCAGCACTTGGGTATAGCTCCTGGGAAGATATGTGAGAAGGGGCAGAGCCGGTCAGGACATGCTTTCCATCTTGGCCCTTTCTCTCCTTTCTTCCTGGAACACAGAGTTGATGCTGGAGATGGGCAACCATCTTGCCCACACTAGGCCAGGCAAAACAATGACCCAATGGCATCTCCCTTGTGGCCACACAGTGGGTCTGATCTGCCTCTTTCCACACTTGCTACAGGAAGGAGAGAGAAGACCTAGTGGTCAGGGCCCACAGATGGTCATAGGCAATTGAATACAGGTCAGGATGACACAGCAAGTACTCACAGTCTGTCGTGTACTCCACCTGGGAGGGCTGCGAGGGTGCACCATCTACAGCATGTGGGGTAGGAGCAGAACTGTCAGCCTGTGCTTTACGGACAAGTGCTGCTAGGGGGTGATCTGGGTCCACCACCTTCAAGGGCTAGAATCAGAGAAGAGACATGGCCTTAGCATTTTCTGTACTGTGAATCACATGGAACTCTTCTCTTATGAAAAGGCTCAACTCAACTTTAGATTACAGTATACATGCCTTAGATAAACCTTAACACACTCGTGGACACATACATATATAGGAGTCATGGCTAGTTATAGCCTGGTATGCCAGTTGGTTGTCTGTCCCAGAGGAATTAAGTGCGTGCCAGGTTTCGAACTCAGTAATCAACGAAAGAGGAAGTGGGGACAACTGTGATTAGATGACTTATAAAATTGTTATCATCCAATCTCAAGCCAAACTTCAGATTCTGCCTTTCCTTACTAGAATTTCTAATTTCAGTTTTAGTAGTAAAATCAATCAAGAATCATTCTCAAAGGGACCAGCCACCTGGCATGACTGTTGAAAACCATATGCTTTAGGTCTAAAGGACCTCCTATTTACGTCACAAATGGCAGGGTAAGTGGTGTGAACTAATCACAAGATAATGCTGAGTGATTTCTTTGTAAGTATGAGGGGAACATTAAAAGTAAAAATACTTTCTTAGGCTCGGCGCTCGTAGTATAGTGCTTATGGCACCAGCCACACACATTAAGGGTTGTGGGTTCAAACCCAGCCTGGACCAGCTAATAACTGCAACAAAAAAATAGCTGGGCATTGTAGTGGGCACCTATAGTCCCAGCTACCTGGGAGGCTGAGGCATGAAAATCACTTAAGCCCAAGAGTTTGAGGTTGCTGTGAGCTGTGACGTCACAGCACTCTACCAAGGGCAACACAGTAAGACTCTCTCTCAAAAAGAAAAAAAAAAAACTTTCTTAAAACCTACCTATGAAGATAACAGAGAACTTCAAGCAGTATATTCTGAGCAGCTATAAAATCCAATCCTATAATAAAATCTATATGAAAAAAACAATTTTTATAGCTGGGCATTGTGGCAGGAGCCTGTAGTCCCAGCTACTTGGGAGACTGAGGCAAGAGAATCGCTTAAGCCCAGGAGTTTGAGGTTGCTGTGAGCTGTGATGCCATGGCACTCTACCAAGGGTGACACAGTGAGACTCTGCCTCCAAAAAAAAAAAGAAAGATAGAAAAAGAAAAAAAGGTGCTCGCTTCGGCAGCACATATACTAAAACTGGAACAATACAGAGAAGATTAGCACGGCCCCTGCACAAGGATGACACGCAAATTCGTGAAGCGTTCCATATTTTTCAGAAGTTTCACTGGCGAACTCTGAAGTCAGAAAGTTGTGTTTAAGTTCTGAAGTAATAAATATTCTTAATATGATTTTTATGGATTGTCAAAGATTTATATATCCTTAATTTCTCTACTAATTTTGAGTTTGTTTTTAAATCTTGAAAGTTTTGATAATTTTGTTTCTGTTTTCAGGGAACCAACATATCATTGAACTATTCCTAGCTCTCTCCTATGTTTACTAATTTCCTATTTTAAGAAGATGTATGTATACCATTATAGAAATGTGTTTATTGAAATAAATGGCTTATTTTTTCCTTTCAGAAAAAAAAAAAGAAAAAGAAAAAATAATTTTTAACCCATAACCAGTACTCTACTGGCAGGGCCTGTGGCTCAGTGAGTAGGGTACCGGCCCCATATACTGAGGGTAGCGGGTTCGAACCTGGCCCTGGCCAAACTGCAACAAAAAAGGCCAGGCACTGTGGCAAACAACTGTAGCCCCAGCTACTCAGGAGGCTGAGGCAAGAGAATCGCCTAAGCCCAAGAGCCAGAGGTTTCTGTGAGCTGTGATGCCATGGCACTCTACCAAGGGTGACAAAGTGAGACTCTGTCCCTAAAAAACAAACAAAAAACCCCAATACTCTACTAATTCTAAATATCCCAGAGGGTAAGATACTAATAAAGTGAAAAGAATCTGCTTTTGAAATTTATAATACAGATACTTAAGACATATAGCAAATCCTTTGCCACCAAGCATGAAACAAAAATGCAATAGGCATCTCAATGATGAAAAAGTAAGATAGAAGTTTAATACCCAAGAAACGACAATTTCTCAAAATTAAACCAGTAGAAGTTTTCCCATGGAATAAAGAAGGACAGCTGAGTAAGGAGATAAAGACCTTCATCAACTCCTCGAGGCGGTTGCACTTCTGGGAGGCAAAGAGAGATGGGTGGAGGTAATTTCCATCTTCCTCATCGTCATCCTCCTCATTGTCAGAGACGACCCCTGACTCTGAAATTACAATCAAGGTCAAAGTTTTGGTGTATGAAGAGAACAGAAGTACAGATAAATTGTGCAAAAACTCAGAGGAAGACAAAGGCAGAGCTCTCTGCATAGTCATTTCTTGGTTTCTTATCCAAAAAAATACCTTGGAATATTCTTTCCCTAGAGTCACCTGAGCTGTTCAGAGAAGTCAAACAGAAAAGAGTATTGACCCTTTGACCAGGAACCAGTCTGGGGGCACTGAAAGCTCAAAACATAAAAAGGGTAAAAACCTTACTGATTTATGAAAAGTAAAATAATAGTAACAAAAATTTTAAAAAAACAACAAACTGACTCGGCGCCTGTGGCTCAAGCTGCTAAGGCGCCAGCCACATACACCACGGTGGGTTTGAATCCCCAGCCCGGGCCCGCCAAACAACAATGATGGCTGCAACCAAAAAATGGCCAGGCTCTGTGGTGGGCGCCTGTAGTCCCAGCTACTTGGGAGGCGGAGGCAGGAGACTCGCTTGAGCCCAGGAGTTGGAGGTTGCTGTGAGCGTGATGCCATAGCACTCTACCCAGGGAGATAGCTTGAGGCTCCGTCTCAAAAAAAAAAAAAAAAAAAAAAGCAACAAACTACAACAAACTTAGAGATCTGCAAATAAGATCAATATGGTTTACACAACTGACCTGCAACATTATTATTTCAGTGAAAGAGAACAAAATTGAATGGAAGACTTTTATATAAAAAGACCTGTGGGGTTTGGCACCTGGAGCTCAGCGGCTAGGGCACCAGCCACATACACCAGAGCTGGCGGGTTCGAACCCAGCTTAGGCCCGCCAAACAACGACAACTACACCCAAAAAACAGCTGGGCATTGCAGCGGGTGCCTGTAGTCCCAGCTACTTGGGAGGCTAAGGCAAGAGAATCACTTTAAGCTCAAGAGTTTGAGGTTGTTATGAGCTGCGATGCCACAGCACTCTACTGAGGACAATATAGGAAGACTCTGTGTCAAAAAACAAAAAACAAACCAAAAAAACCTGTCAAAATATTATCTTTATTCCATATAGGGATAACTGGCCTTTGTAGTAAAAATTCTAAATAGAGACACTAACAAAAATAAGAGCTTGAGATAGATGATCCAAGTAAAATTTTCATTTTTGTGGACATGTAAAATTTAACCATATAGCCCTAAACACTATGGTAAATGTATACTGAGAATAATCTAACAAAGCATAAAACTCACTTTTCTCTAAGAAATGTTAAGCAGGCAAAAATGAAAGAAAAAATTTCTAACCTAAATGATTATGTTCTGATACTATCAATATTTAATTACATTTCACCTATCTATAAAACATTAATGAAGAATTTAATATGGGCACACCTGCAGGGTTAATTATCACATCTTAGCGGCAGGATTCATAAGCATTCTAGAAATTCTAAAGTCTAGATTTCAACCATACATCTTGAAGAATACACACACTTTCTCCACAACTACTCCTTGCCTGTCACAGCCTCCCCCAACCCCAGCACAGGCCCGAAGTCAATGGGACAGACAATTTTACATACTTTTCTTCTCTTCAGTTTTATTTTCTGCTAGCACTGTGTATCGTCCTTCCTTCATAGCTTTCTGGATAAACTTATAGTAGGGGTTGAGGTAGTGATCGAAGCGCAGAAAGTCGAACTGGGAGTTTCGAGCTTGCTTGGCCTTCAGCATTATTTCGAACTGTGCTCCCTGCTTGCACACAAAATTGGCTGTGCGCTCAATGATGGCGTGCATTTTTGCTGTTGGTGGCTAAGAGAAAACACACATTCTTGTCATTGAATTATCCTCTTTTCCATTGGCCACATGATTTTATTAAAACGCAGAAATAATGTGAGGTGTATCATCAAATTTTTTTTTTTTTTTTTGAGACAGAGCCTCAAGCTGTCCCCCTGGGTAGAGTTCCATTGCATCACAGCTCACAGCAGCCTCCAACTCCTGGGCTCAAGTGAGTCTCCTGCCTCAGCCTCCCAAGTAGCTGGTACCACAAACTGCCTGCCACAATGCCTGGCTATGTTTTGGTTGCAGCCGTCATTGTTGTTTGGCGGGCTCGGGCTGGATTTGAACCTGCCACCTTAGGTGTATGTGGCTGGCGCCTTAGCCACTTGAGCCACAGGAGTCGAACCTGTATCATCAATTTTAAGAGATAAGCGACATGTCAACAAGGCTGAGCGTGGTGGCTCATGCCATTAATCCCAGTACTCTGGGAGGCTGAGGCAGATGGATGGCTTGAGCTCAGGAGATTGAGACCAGCCTGAGCAAGATGGAGATCCCATCTCCATCTAAATGGCTAGGCGTTGTGGTGGGCAACTATAATTCCAGCTACTCAGGAGCCGGAGACAAGAGGATCTCTTGAGCCCAAGAATTTGAGGTTGCTGTAAGCTATGATGCCACAGCAGTCTACCAAAAGTGACAAAGTGAGACTCTATCTCAAAAAAAAGAGACATGTCAACAGGAAGAACCCTGTCTGTTCTGACTTGGGCACTGCCTTGTCTGTCTCTGAATCTTACCAGGATTCTGTGGGGAAGGAAATTGAGGCAGGCTATTTCACCTCTGTACAAAACCCACTGGACAGGCAAATCAGTACCTTCTGATATAACAGGAATCCTCAACCTGTGTTCTGTGAGGGGGTGTAGAAAGTCTCTGACGTCATATGCAAACTTTGCATACAAACACTTTTTTTTTGAGGGAGGGGGGACACCTTCAACAGTTCCTAAGGATCTAAGACTCACTCCAGTTTCTTTTTTTTCCCCTCAGGATTAGTTCTTACAGCTTGGTAGCTCCCTCTTAAACCACAGCCCTTTTGAACATCCAAAGAAAACTGAGTACTCAACACCACATCTTTTCTTCTGCACTTAGCTCTCCCTTTACCACCTTCCCTGTTTCTATTCCCCTGTAAGATGCAACTGGTGGGGCTCGGCGCCTATAGCTCAACCGGCTAAGGCGCCAGCCACGTACACCTAAGGTGGCGGGTTTGAATCCCCAGCCCGGACCCGCCAAACAACAA